TAATTGAAAAATGTTACTTTAAACATTAATTGCTTTTGTTGTCAATGATTTAAAAGGCGCGCCTAGGCACACAAGCGAGACGCATTTTAGGGTAGGCGCCTCGCCCAGGTCCTAGGCGCAGCCCATTCAAAAGGCGCACCAAGCGTGCGCCTTGCACCTTAAACCAGGCGTGCGCCTTCTGAAAATTTGCCACTATTTCCTTTTTTTTTTGAATCTGGTGTTTGGGCCGGGGGCTCCGCCCCCAGACCCCCGTGCCACGCCCCTCGAGGCCAGCCCAAACAAGTCCATGTTAGGGTCTTAAATTCTTAGTTTTCACACAATAAATAATAATTTATAGTTTTAATTGCTTTAAGAAGATATTTTATTAGGATGAATGAATGGACAACATTACCAAATAGGGGATTCTCGAAGCTTCGATGAGCGAGCAAATGTCACATTAGCTACTTGATGCAATTGAGAAAAAAAAAAGATTGTGGGTTTTATATGCTTGAAAATGTTTTATATGTTTGATTTCATTTTTAAATTCTCATTTGAATATGCTTTACATATTATATTTATGTATTTTAATTTTAGATATTAGGTTTTTTAAAACATTTATTTTAAAACTTAAGTTTATATTTTTATTAATATTATGTTTTCTAATTTTTTGATTTTTTTGAATTGTTTGCATTTTTTTAATATTTTGCTTTTTTTGCATTGTTTTAATTTTTTGGCCTTTTTTTAAATTGTGCGTCGCGCCTTGCGCCTCAGGCACAAAATGGCCCTTGCACCTTTTGCTTTTAAAACATTGTTTGTTGTTTGGTTGGGTGTTTCGTGGGAGTTTTAAGTAACACCCCATAAAGCTATCTTCCACCTCAGCTTAACATTTATTGTGTTTGTTCTTTGGTCGGGCGTTTCATGGGAGTTTCAACTTTCAAGTGACACCCCATAAAGCTATCTTCCTCCTCAGCTTAACATTTATTGTTTTTGTTGTTTGGCTAGGCGTTTCATGGGCATTTCAAGTAACACCCCCATAAAGCTATCTTCCACCTCAGCTTACAATGCTCCAGGTAAGCATTTAATTTCAATAAACGTTGGGGCATTGGGAGAAACCAGAATTTGAAGTTCCCCCAACACCTCATGCACATAAATCCAAGTGCTTTTGTTTTTTAATGTTTATTTGATAAACGTCGAAACCAAACAATAGTTTCATGCACAAAGCACAATAAACGCCACCATCTAAGTGGTGCTGATGTGGTGGCATTTTTCCAATAAACATCCACAAAACCAAACATATAATCAATGTTTTAAAACATGGAGGCGTGACGCGAGGCGTTCCACTACCTAGAGACATGAGGTGTAGTTTAGAACATAAGAGGTGTAAGCCTTCCGAGCACAAGGAGGCATAAGCCTCCTTAAGAGAAGGGGGGTCAGGAGGAAGAAGAGGAAGGGGGGATCTCATTTTTTCTTTATTTTTAATAAAAATCCTTTCCTTTTTTTCTTTTTCTTTTTTTTTCTATCTTTTTATATGAGATGTGCATGAGGCGCATGAGGCGTACACCTCTAGCACGCCTCATGAACTCATACGCCTCTTGCACCTAAAGTGTACGCCTCAGAGGTGTCGGTGCCTCTGGCATACGCCTCAAGGCATTTTGGGAGCGCCTCCAGGTGTACGCCTCCCATGCCCTTTAAGTCAATTTATGAAAACTCAGGGTATGTTTTAAGTCTTTTACCCTATTTTTATTTTCTTTCTTTTATGTTGCCACCTCATTTGGGGCATTTCTGTAATTTATGTTCTTTATCATTAAGTTAATAAAATAGATTAAAAAAGGGGGCTGGGGATCGTACAAGAAAATAAATCACCCAAACCCTTTTTCTTCCCCTCTTGTTCCTCCTCTCTTCTTGCTTCTGTTCAACCTTTTTTGTTCTACTTCTTCCTACTGTTAAATGCTAAATTAATCTTTTTATTATTCTTTGGACCTGCTTTCCTTCTATAAGCAATGAAGAACTCAAAACTTTGTCTAATCAATACATAGTGTTTATTATTTTCTTCTTTTACTAGGACAAAAATAGGGGCTCAGCCCTTCTATTTTCTGAAATTTCTTTTCTTTCTTCCATTTTTTTCATGAATATGTTGATTTTCTATGTTTAAAATGAGGTTTATACATTTTTATGAAGTAAGATAACTACCAGTGAAATATGATCGCTGGTTGCTATGGAAACCTAGGGAGGTCGCACTAGCCTTGCATAAAGGGTAACCTTGAAAATTTCATCCCCTTCATTGGTAATAGAAGGAGGTGCAGAAATGCCATCAAAAGCAGTTGGTAAAGGACCATGGAGGCTGGTGCAATATCTTAATCAGAATAAGAGTATTCTTTCTAATTTGCCTGTTGAGGGTGGACCTTGGTGCAATGGTTGAGTTGCTCCATTGCGACCTGGGTGACCAGGGTTAAAATCTTGGAAACAGTCACTTTGTACATCTGCAAGGGTAAGCCTGTGTACATCTTTCCATCCCCAAACCCTGCATTGGCAGGAGCCTCGTGCAATGGGCTGCCCTTTTTAATAACTTGCCTGCTAGTATCTGGTTGATTCCTAGAAATAAACACAATAGCAAATAAATTGGCCAGATCTGGTATAGGTTGGATGCTTGTACAATGAGAACTCTATGCTTGTCTGGTTTCTTGGTTGAGAATGGGCCTCACTGATGGACCACCTGCTCAAATACTAATTGATGTAGGACTAGCTTCTCTTATACCAATTGATATATTAATGAATATGACCCAAGAATAAGACTAGGAGGGTAATGATAGGATAAGAAGGGTTTAGAGATGATTTTAGGACTAAAGGTAAAAATTATGGATCATACAGGAATTTTTAATTTGAAGGCATTGGCATTCTAAGCATGTGTAAAGGACAAAATTTCCCTTGGTCAAATAAATTGCCAAATTTAAGAAACTAGGGTCTTAGATGGAATTTTAGGATGAAACTTGGTATGCTGAAAGATGATTGAAACTTATGGTGGGCAGCCTAACTTAAGGGCATCGAAAAGTGGTTTCGCACAAAAGGATAAAAAGTGCTAAACATGAAGGTTTTGGATTTACTCACAACATCTGGAGACTTTATCTTATATGTATCTTGTCTAAGGCAAATGGTGGATCAACTAGCCATTTGATAGCTAAAACTCTCTCTCTCTCTCTTTTGATAGATAACTGTGAATTTTATTAATCATCAATAAAGTAGATATATATACTGCCAAAGCAGTTCAGGTATAGGCTGATAATCAACCACCTAACCCCATGACAAGGTACATTAGTTACATTTCAGCCCAGAATAGATTATCCTCATTTACCCCTTGTCTGGCCAATCCATCAGCCATCCTATTTGCAGACCTCCTGACACAACAGAAGCGTAGGACTGTTTCCTTTGCTAGATGTCTGATTTCCTTCAAGACAAATCTGTATCTCCATAAACCTTGGCTATTATGCTTCATCCAACCCACCACTACCTTTGATTTTCCCCTTGCTATTTATTGCTTCTGTTTGGCTCTCCTTTTTTATTATCTCAACGAAAAGAAGAATACAAGAGAATAATCATCTTGGCCTGTCAAGACACGTCACCTCCCCAAAGGGATAAGCTAACAGTACTCATACAGGATATTGATAATTAAGAAAGCCATCTGGTATGGATGCTTCCCATTACAAAGCTTCCCCTCCCATGCCATCTCTGGATAGGCCATCAGCAAGGGAGTAGACTGATCTCTGGATTCACCAGGACGAGATGTTCATATTAAAAGCCAAAGCTCTAGCCTCTCTCACAAGATGTTTGAACCTTCATTTCCATTTCTGAACCAGCCAAATATCACTTGGAAATCCCCTTTAATCTCCACATTCCGCAGCCTCCAAACTGTCATCAAACATATTCCCTGTAGTAAGGCTTCTATCTCAGCCAATGCAAAGCCAGAAGAGCCATCTGGACCCAATAAAGCCAATAATATCTCCCCTGATGCATCCCTGAACCACCCCCTTCCAAATCCCTGATGGTACTGGATTTCCTAGAAAGCATCCATCAAATTTTAGTTCCAGCACTCCTTCTGGCTGGGGAACCCAATCCTGGTTCACTACCCATCTTGCTGTGGATAAGTTCGTTACATGAGTCCATCCTTGTATATATTATCAATATGGAATTCACTGAAATCATATTGAATCTCTAACAAGTGAGCAACTGACAGTGGAGAGGCTTCTTTTGGCAAGTATCCCTCTGCCACATTTAACATGTATACACAAGCCCTCTATACAGTGCAACCTCATCGCTTAACCCCCTTCTAGTTCCCTCATTTGCTTGTCGACCAGTCTTTAATTTCTATTCCAGTAAAAGAACTCCAAACAAATGCATTTAAAATGGTTCATCCTTATGGACTACGATTATTAGCAAAGTTACAGGCATTAACCAGTGTTCATCCTAATGCAAGGGACAATGGTTTTCAACAAAAAAAAAAAAAAACGAAAGTTCTACAAATGTGTCCCATGGTAACCTATCTCTGCAAGACAAACACGTACATGGGCCTAAACTTCTACTGATCATGACCAGAGATAGAAGGCGACTGCAAAGGGTACAGCAATTGGTCCAGGGATTTTAAAAATAATAATGACAGATGATGATAATGTAATTCCGAATTTATATCGGGAATGTATTAAGTTGATCTTTGAAAATTTTGCATGCACATCCAGGTAGCTCCTCCGTGAGTTTTATATAGATCAAGAACCGCCGCGCTGGTGTTTGCAGAAGCATGAAGGGGCGATAGGAGTATTACAACTACCAAATTACATGCTGTGGGACAACGTTGGAAACTTATACAGTTCCAATAATCTGAAGGATCGAAACAGTACAAACTTTGAGCACCGGATCAAAATAAAGAATCACAGCTATACAAGAAAAACATGAAAGCCTCGAGTCCGAAAGGGGGCGAGGCTCGTGAATAAGAACAAAATTATGCGAATGCAACTATGCAAATAAAAGATTACCTCGCCCTTGAAACCCGAATCGATTCCATTGGCAATTGGCGATCGCAGTGGAGATTTTGATTGGGCAAATCTATGAGAAGTCCGGCGATCAGAGACGGAAGAATCCTCCCCAGTACTGGGTCGATAGATCTCGAGCTCTTGGGCAGCGTCCTTGACGTCGAGCACGATCTGGTTGAGGTTCTCTTTGTAATTAGCAATTGTACTCCACATCATCCACTCCCTCTCGACTATAATCAAATCAAAATCGAAACTGCAGCAAATAATCCCACTAAATTTTAGTGGAGAAACCCGCTAAGTGGAGAGAGAATATTTTTCGGGGGGGAGAAGTCTACGAATTTTGGTAGATCTGAATTGGTAACAGGAATTTGGAAAGAAGTCTAAAAGCTTCTAAATTGTGTCGAGTAACTGATTAAAATGGCAAACATGTCAATAAATATTATCTGTTCTCACCAGGTACAACCCGGACACAATTACGATTTTTAAAGTTTCTTGAGAGAAACCCATGGAGATTTTCATTTTTGGGGTAAATTGGTGAAACCTCTGAATTTTATGATTATTGCTAAAACCTCCTTTAAAATTTAGTAATTTCATTTATTTTTTCTATGATATAGTTGTAACTTGCAAAGAGACCCCTCTTAGAAGTTAAAATCCTCTAAAACGAGACATGAAAATGTCCAAATGCCCATATAAATTAAATTATAGTTGTAACTTCCAATCTCTTTTCTGAAATTAAATTATTTTATAAATTTTCCCTTCATAACAATCCTTCGAAGGTGAAGAGCAATTTTAAATTCTTTATTTTTTATTGTTTATAAAATTTGTATTGTTATTTTCTCTTTGCAGAAACTAGCCTTAGTGGTAATTTCATGGGTATTTTGAAATTTGTGTATATTTTAGCATACATTCTAATAGAGGAGGACTACTTGCAATTGTCAAAAAGTTTAGAAATATAATTGTAATTATTAAATTTCAAAAGATGTTTTAATAAATATCATAAATTTTAAAGGAGGTTTTAGCAATTTACCCTTTTTTGGATAAACATAAATATTTTATTTTGAGTAAATCTCTTTAAGTACCCCCCAAGTTTTAGGAAATTAACTAACTCTATTCCTGCTTTTAAAGTACCCCTAAGTTATTTGATAATTGACTAAATCCTCCCCTACTTTAGTATATGTTAATTTTCATAACAATCCATTCACATGTGACACTACGTGATGCATATAATTTTTTTAAAACCAAATATTACCCTTTTATGATCGAATTTGCCCTCCATTATTCTTTAATTTTTAAAAATATAGTTCAACAAGCTTCAAAAGAGATTTTAGCTTAGCATCAACAAAATTTGAAATTTTAACATACCTGTCTACTATCCACGATTTCCTTTTCTCTCCTCTCAAATCCATATTGCAACTATTCCCAAACAACTATACTAGAGTTTTAACATATCCATCCCCGAACAATCACATTTTCAACTGTGCCCCTAGGCAAAATCAGTGAAAGAGGAGAGGGCCAAAAGTGGGAAAACTAGCATCAGAAAAGAAGTTGTCCAATCCGATGAAAAAGATTAAGGTGCAAAAACTCATGCTTAACATTTATGTAGGTGAAGATGGTAATTGCCTTACTAGAGCAGCTAAGGTTTTGGACTCCTATGTTCTTCTTGAGCACATTGGTTATCGGGTGAGTTGTCAACGCCGATGTAAGTCTCGAGTTGGCATCCAACACAACAAAGGGTGCAATGAAATGGTTCCAGGATAATTACGAGGGTATCATCCTGAACAAAGCTCAGACAGTTATTCATAAACAAGACTACAAATGTAGGCTTTCTAATGGGGAGACAAGGAAAAGAGGAGAGGAAAGAAAAAAGATTAGTGGAGGGAAAATTCTCTTTTAAATTCCAATCTTCTCATGTTGTTGTTCCCGTAGTTGCATCTCATCCCATCAATCTTTTGTCCTATCTTCTCAGTCTCCGCCATCATAGACCCTCTTCACCAGGCAATCGTTACTCAACTCCTTCAGTCTTCTTAGACACATCTCACCACTTAGTACTCAAACTCCAACTACAGCAACACCACCAACAACAGAAGAAACAACTACAACAAGAGCGCCTCCAAAACCTACATAAAATTAAAAAGAAACTGAAGATATGGGTGTGGGGCAGTAGGTTCCATGGTTGCATTTCTGTTAACCGCAAGTTTATTCAAATGTTTCATTTTGAAATTTAAAAGAGTACTAATGGGTAAAATAGTATTTTACAATCTTCCCGTTAACGAACGCTAACAGCAAAGAGGATTAGTAGTTTTAGAAAACTTAGGGGTACTTTAAGTCAATTTCTAAAAATAGGGGTGAATAAGTCAATTTCTTAAAACTTAGGGATACTTTAAGAAATTTGCCCTTTTATTTTCACCGAACAATATTTTTCTATTTGTTATTTTGGTGAGGAAAAGATGATTATATGGCATGAAATGGAGCAGGTCTTGTCTTTAGTACCAACAAATGAATCGAGTTAGACAATATCCTGTGCACTTTTTCATTTAATGCAATTTAAATAAAAATTTAAGGGATGAATTCGTAAAATGTACATTTTTCAATCAGATCAATACAAGGTTTAAAAGTATTTGAAACACAATGTGTATTGGAGAAACAATTCTAAGAGACGTATCGAGATACGCTTAAGGCACATATGGATACATATGAAAAATTAAGATACGCATGGATAAACTAAGAAACTCATATAAATCCTAAAAACCTATGTTAATTACAACAAATATAAGTTTCATATCACTATAAATAAACTATTTAAACATAAAAATTTATATTTTAGTGATTTATACAAAGTGTGAAATATTGAGACATAATTGGAAACTGGTGAAAAATGATGAAGGAATTAAAATGTTTATGTATGCATACATACCATAGTATTTAAAGAATCGATATAATTTGTATTAATATTTACCAGCTTTTAGAAAATATGACCGATTAGCCTATTGGACTAGTTGGACCATGAATAGATTGGGTTAAAAATTTGCCAAAATTGCCCACTCGACTAGTCAAACTTGAAAACTAGTGAATCAGTCACGGTTTTAGAAAAACAACTAATTTTTTAAATTGTTTTAGCACATTAATGCAAACTTCTAAAGGTTCATAACTTTTTGCTCAAATGTCCTATTGTGGTGACTTTTGTTTTTATTTTGGGTAATTTTCCGATATAGGTGCCTTGTAAAAAAATTGAAATTAAAATAAAAAACATATATTATAAAAGAATACAATTATATAATTTGAACATATTAGAATCCAATATATAATTTATAATATTGTATACATGTAATATATATTATATCATCACAATTTGACCTCGGTTGAACCTCTCCCTTTTCTGGGTTGATGTCTAGTCCAGTTCTCTAAACATTGATATTTATTATATATATTTTAATGATGAATTTTAGCTTTTATTGGTAGTCATCCACTAACAAACGAATTTAATTAAAATATAAAATACAAATTTATATTGTAAATATTTGTGGTATGGCATAGTGGTGGACTTGTAGTTGTTACAAACAAATGATTGGGGTTCCAATCCCTTTTTCCCTATTTGTGATTTTTAATATGCAAGTTAGTGGCATGTCAAATTCAAATTTGAATTTGAACATAACCTTAAATGCACTATTCAATTTGCCTTTAATAGTGTGTTATTAAATGTGATAATTAATTAAAAGTCATTAAATTGAATTTGAAAAGTTACTAATATTAAGAGAGAATGAAGGAAAATAAATGTCTACAACTCCACTACATTCAAATGTCTACAAAAGAAAAAAAAAACAAATTTTCTATTGAATGCTTTATAGCTTTCTCAGAGTTTTTTTTTTTCTAAACTTCAAAAGGGTGAACTTTAGCCGAATACTTGGCTATTCGAGTTCGGCTCATCAAAACAATGTTAACCTCGAGCTTGATTTAAGCTAAAGACTTAAGCTCAAATTTAGCATGACTCAAAAGCTCACAAGTTCAAGTTCAGCTCGAGCTTAACTATGAGCCAAGCTCCCTATAAAAAATAAAATGTATACATATAAAAGGTTTTTTTTATTTTCTAATACAAAAAAAAATCAAGAATTATTAAAATTATTTATTATTATACATAAAGCATAAAAATATTATATATATAGTATTATTATACATATAAATAAAAATTATTTATTATATATGTATGTATGTATGTACTAGGCTTGCACAAGCCGAGCTTTATTGGGCTTGAGCTCGACTTGATTAGCAAATGAGTATATATATTAGACTCGAGACCCAACTTATACTGAGCCGAATCGAGCTTTTCATGAGCCAATCTCAAATAACGCGTGAAAAGCTCGATACGTTTCCACCCATCAAATTTATCCAATGCCACTTATTCTTGAAAATCCATCCAGTTCTTCATACCCCAAGCAATACTGAAATAAGAAACATTTGTTCGATCCCTTTATTCATCCAAAAGTAATGAGATGGCCATTCAACGAAGGAAAAAAACACATAATGCCTAATGGTTGCCATAATTTTTGACACATGAGTGATGATGTGGAAAATATAGACAGATCAATAAGTAAGGCTACATTTGGAAACGATGCAAATAAGTGTGAATGCAAATATGTAGAGTGTAAAATGGCTCATATAAATTGCAAAGTTGGGTTAGTTTTGCACTAACAAATTTACCTTCTTACCAAACAGATTAGTAGTTGTAATGGATGCAAACATGAATTTCAATAAAGCATATGCTTTTTTTATCAAAAGCCCACTTGAATGCAAATTTACTTCTTTTTTATTGATGTATTTTTACATCTTATTATCAATGTAAATATGCATTGGTTAGTCATTTGTTAATGCATAAACGTAATGTTGCCAAACACAGGCAAAATTTACATTGAATTGGGATTTACACTCCATTTGCATCGTTTCCAAATGCAACCTAAAGGACCATTTGGATAGACCATATATTGAATGCTCCATTCCACAGTTCCACACCATCCTATTTCTCACTGTTAAATAGTGTTTTTGACAAGTAACATTTGGTTGCCACCGAAAGACATGGGCAATTTCTTTCAACTAAACAATAGACTACCTACAAAAAGCCATTTGAGGAGAAGGAGATGTAATATTAATGACTCTTGAAGTTTTTGTGGGGAGGAGTATACGGTACATATCTTTAAAAGATGTGTACACAAAGCAAATCTGGTTTACCTTGACTATGCCCCTAGAGGGACCAAATGAAAATGAAAATCTATGTAAATGGTGGAGGAGAATATGTGATAAAAAGGAAAACAAATCCTTGTTTGTAAGGGAAAAAATAACTTTTGTTTTATAGGTTGTTTGGAAAAATAGAAACTCCAAAATTTTTAATGATGTTATTACCCACATTCCATTAATCTTAGAAAGATCATTAAACATGTTCCTG